AATCATCCACTCAGTCATTCAGTCAGTGTCTGTTGGGTTTGCAAGTCTTCTGATCCAACACCTTGGCCGGACAACTGCACTTTAACTGTATATCAGCCAGCATTGCCTGTGTTGCTCGTACAACTGGAAGGATGTTGTTGAAGAAACGGCACACATGTGACAGGCGTCCATTCCTCCAGCAAATCTGCAGCTGCTTCACGGCCCAAAGAGTTTGTGCACGGGGCATTGGGGATTTAAGGTTCGTGTAGAGTTGGTGCCATAAGCCGTGGATTAAATTTAGGGGTTGATGGTTTAGGGTTCAGGAGGCTTCTTCTGGTGTACCCGCTTGAGAGGTGACGGAACTCACGGATGATGGTTTCAGAGGATAGCCGAGCCATGTGTTGAGGCCCTGCAAGGTCTTAGGGTTTTGGAATTCAGACATTGTTGGTGTTGCAAATGTAATTATTCGCACTCCCTGGGTTCCGTTGGAGTTCAGATCTAACTTGCTGGTGGAACCCTGAACATCGAAAAATCGCACCAGCAAGTATTCGTTGGTTGAAAGGCGAGGCATATTCGCCAGCCCACATCCATCAAAGGCGCACTTGGACGTGTGAAGCCAGCAATTCATGCATATGGGTGCATGGTAAGATGAGCTGAACACTTTCTTGGCAACAGCAAGAACAGGTTATTGTAACACTATTCAACATCTCAGGGGGGGAGTTCGTGGAGTAAGTCGATCGGTTTTTTTGCCGGTTTCTTGGACAGACACTAAATAATGCTATGGCTTTCGCTCTAGGCTTCACCCTGCATATGCTGCTGGTGTTCCGAGTCATAGGTCTTGGGGTGTGTCCGGTACCGACGGAACAAACCCCATGGGGACCCTTTAGGGGACAAGCTTCAAACATCCCCGACATGGCCCAGGAAGGTGAAGATTGCTCGGCTTCGTTCTGGCCAGGGCAAGCTCTACAACAGTACTGTGGCAACGCCGCTGGCATGCAGTCGAGCTTGGTCGCCTTGTTTAAACAGTCCGCCACATTTGGTCCTCTGTTTGTTCGTTGATGCCTGGGGCTGCATGGAACTTTCAAACGAGAGTACACACCAACTGTCTTTCTCCAGGTCACATTAGTTTGCGAGTCATGCGCTAGAGCAGCCAATTCAGCTCTGCGACTACCACGAGTGCCCACATTGTTGCATTTGCAGCGGAAGCTGTGGTGGTAGTAGTACTAGCAGCAGGAGTAGGAGTAGTAGTAGTAGTAGTAGTAGTAGTAGTAGTAGTAGCAGAAGTGGTAGCAGTAGTAGTAGTAGTAGTAGTAGTAGTAGTAGTAGTAGTAGTAGTAGCAGTAGCAGCAGCAGCAGTAGCAGCAGTAGCAGCAGTAGCAGTAGTAGTCGTCGTGGTGGTGGTGGTAGTACGTAGCAGTAGTAATACAAGTCGAATTAGTAGAAGTCGAAGCATCAGCAGCATTAGGGGTGGTAGAGGGCAGCCGCTGTCGTCGACATCATCGTCGTCGTGGTCGTGTTCATCACTGTGGGCTGGTGGTGCAATGCTGATGATTGGAAACCGATGACCGCAAGACAGTCTGAAGCTGGCTAGAAGAGTTGTCGTGCGATAGCAAACGAAGGCTTCATTGAAAGTCCGGCCGCATGGCAATGGACGGCTTGCCCTATCCTCAGGCAGACACCAGGCCCTCAACTCTACCCCTCCCAGGGCATTCAGTCCCTAGCTGTATATCAAAACCAGCAGCAGGTTCCGTTTGAACACAAGGCCCGAAGCCCCAAGCCCCCAGGCCTGAACTCCATACACGAAAGTTTGGGCCCGAAGCCCTGAGACCCAAAACCCCACACCCCCAACAAAGAAAATCTACACCCGACACCTTGAACCCCAAACCGTGCCTAAACCCTACACCAAACATGGCTGAACCCACCTCCGCGACACTAACTCTAAGCCCGTTTAAGATCAAGCTAAGCCTTTTGCCAAGCTCTAGGTTGGTGGAGTGGAACCCCACGGCGAGTAAATGGCTTGTGGAGCTGTTTACTGGTGTCCAGGCTCCAAGCCCGAAGATGCCAACCCTATGCCCTAAACCCCTAAAGCCCTAAACTCATGTCATGGGTGGCGTTTAGGGTTCAGGACTTCAGCGCCGGGGCTGGCGAAGCTCCGGGTTCAGGGTTTTGAAGGTTTAGTTCGGGTTCTGGGGATGCATAGGAGGTCGTTTCGGGGTTTTGGTGAGGCTTTGGAACGTGGGATTTCGTGCACCTCGTGGTTGCAAGTGGGAGTTTAGTCAGTAATTTGCGCTTAGGATTGGCAGGTGCGGAAATTCCTGAACCCTAAACCCTGATAGACCCCAAACCCTAAACCCTTATAGACCCTAAACCCTAAACCCTTATAGACCCTAAACTCTAAACCCTGAACCCTGAACCCTAAGCCCACCCTGAACCCATTAAGCCCCAACATTGACAGGTTCAGGATTTCGAGCTCCAGGACTCTAGGCCAGGAACAAGACAGATCCAAACGCGATCATCAGACTGGCAAGAAGTAGCCTGTAGGCCTTAATAAGTAGAATAGGGTTCCGTTACGGGGCTCCTATAAGGGCTTAAAATAGAGACTTCCCTCATTACAACAGGGGGTTGGGGCATATTATACTGTATTTTTGTTCAGGAACCCAGAACAGTATTGGAAATTATGTAGACTCCCAAAATCGTACACTAATCACCACAAGATTTCAACGAACAGAAAGGCTCCTTAAACCCAGAGCACCTTCGCCTCGCTCTGAACCCCAGACCATCGCCAGAGCCTCCAATGTCCCTTAATTAAGGAATAGACCTTAAATCATATTAGGGATCCCACTATAATTTAAAGTATATTCCTTAATTAAGGAATAGATGTTAAGTCATATTAGGGATCTCACTATAATTTAAAGTACATTCCTTAAGTAAGGGATATGGGAGTCTCTGGGCTTGCCAGGCGCTGATCCCGGCGGAGAACTTGGAGCCTGTAGAAACGCTCTCGGATTCCTAGCCACGCCTCGCCGTGAAAAAGACGATGGGCTTGGAGGTTGGTTAGGTTAAGTTTAGGGTTTGCGGCAGTTTGAACATGTCACATGTCTCAACTCTCAACCCTAGTCTGTAAACTCTTGTGAGGCTTAAGGGGTTTGTGTCAATCTTGCAAGGTTTGCGGATTTTAGCAGTGTGTCGGATCTTCGGTTTTCAAATCCACTTAGGCCTATGCGTCGCGAGCTGGCAGACTGGATCGCCCAACTGCGCTCCCTGATTCGCAGACCAGTTTTTTCTTGATGATTTGGGGTTCAGGGGCGTTTTATTTTGGATTTCGGGTTTAGGGTTTGGGTCTTGGGCTTAGGGCTTCGGGTATCTCCTGTAGGGGAGAGGTTTCTGTTTTCTGGGGTTGGGGGCTTCGTGCATCAAGGGTTAGGAGCTAGGGCAAGCTTGATTGAAGTACAGGCTGTGTCTAAGCTCGGTTTAGGGTTTAGGGTTTACGGTTTAGGGTTTAGGGTTTAGGGTTTAGGGCAGCAAGGTCCATCCTCCACCTGAAATCCCAAACCCCAAACCCTGTTTAAAGGCTTGGCCTCACTACAGTGACCCTGCACGCCGCAAGCCTGCACCCTATGATGTAGCACTAGTGTGAAAGTGAACCGCATCCGGGGGGACTGGGGAGGTAAGACAATCCTACACAGTGGGTTTCAAGCCTTTTGATAAGTTGTCCCCAGACACTTGGATCTTGACAGACCCCCTCAACCCTAGAGCCTAAACCCTAAACCCTACACCCTAAACCCTAAACCCTAAACCCTAAACCCTAAACCCTAAATCCTAAACCCTAAACCCTAGAGCCTAAACCCTAAACCTAAACCCTTGACTCAACCCATAAACCCTAAGCTCTCCCAAGAGCTGTTTGAGACGAGGCGAGCGGTCCCTGGGCTTCCAAAGGTCACAGAGGTCGCCGCAGTTGTTTAGGGCTCTTGGTCCCGATTAGGGTCTAGGGTTTAGGGTTTGGGGTTTAGGGTTTAGGGTTTAGGTTTTAGGGTTTAGGGGGCTTTGAGGGTTTTTTGTCTGACATAAGCCTGTTTGGGGTTATCCGCCACGAGTTGTCATGCAATCTGCTTTCCAAAACCCGCCCGCGCTGTCGGCATTACTTAGATCGTAACTTGCTAGTTTCTTTGATGTCAACGCACTGAAAACCTAAGCCGTAAGCCTAGCCCTAAAATCCTGAACCCCAAATGCTAAACCCGAGACTCTAAACCCTAGTCAAAGCCTCAACGCCCTGAAGCCTGAACCCTACTTGTAGCAACTTGGGTTCAGGGTTTAGGGTTTAGGGTTTAGGGGTTCAGGGTTTACGGTTTTAGGGATTTGGGTTTCTTAAACCCTACACCCTAAACCCTAAACCCTAAACCCTACACCCCGAAGCATGAGACCTAAACGCTAAGCCTGCCCTAAGCCCCAAACCCGAAACACTAAACCCCTCAACCCCTCACCCCCGAAACCCAACACCCCACCGCAGACTCCAAGTCCTCGAAGTTAGCTGCGAATAGCTCGTCCTCATGGCAGCAGCCCTCGAACACCTGGGAGAACAGGGGCACGAGGAGCTCGAACACGTGGCAGAGCAGGCCCGCCTCGAACACCTGGCAGGACCACAGGCCATCCTCGTGGGACAACAGGTCCTGGCACAATCTGGGACAGCTGGACCTGGGACAGCAACAGAGACGACAACTCCTGGAATCAGCAACATCGCCCAAGCCGACGCCCACGATCCACTCAGACGACGACCGAGGGAGATGTTTCGGGAGGCGCGAGATCTGAGCTAACATGGATTTTGACAAAGAGCCCAGAATGCCTTCTTGGTTTTAGTACTTGCAAACCAGTTTACAGCTTAGGGCGTTACGGTCTAAGATTTAGGTTTTTTTGGGGGGTTATAGGGCTGTTGGGTTTAGGATTAGGATTTACGGTTTCGGGGTGTTGGGTCTAGGGTGAGTTCCTCTTAAGTAACAAGAAGCCTGGAAACCCGAGCCGTGCAGGTGGTGTGCGGCTTCCACCACACGCTGGTTTTGACGGAAGCCGGGGCCCCACCACGCATTTTCCGTCATACTGAGTATGTAATGATCATTGGAATAGGGTTTAGGGCAATCAGAATTGATAGACGTGGTCGTAGCCACAGTAGCGATCGGACATCTCCCTGTATGCTAAAGGCATTAATTAAGGCGCGAGCATACTCCTCAGCAGCACTGTTGTGTAAACAGCTTCAATGCGCACGAGTGTTTAGAGGGAGACGTTGTGTGCCCACTGTCGTTGGTAGAGGGTTTCAGAGTTTCAGATGAGGCCTTCGGGTTTTAGGCCTGTTTTCGCGTTTGGGGTTTGGTTAGTGGTTCAGGGTTGGCAGTTTCAGCTGTTGGGACTGGGCTGTTCATGGTTCTTCCAGAGCATGACAACCCCCCGCCCCTGCCAGCCGAACCCGAAATACTCTGATCCTAAACTCGTTGTTGTTCTGTTTTACAGTGACTTCCCCTTGGCTGGGGCTTGGGTTTCTGTAAAGGTTCCTGAACGGAGTTTAGGAGTTCGGGGGCTTGGCGGTTCAAACGTTTCACTTTCAGGCTTTGTGATCGTGTTGGGTTGTGTTGTATCCTTTGAGGCTTAGGTCTTAATGGTTTAATGTTGAACGGTTTGACATGTTAAATTCAGGCAAAGGGCGGAGACATCAGGAACGTGAGACACTGACCCATAAACCCAAAACCCTACTAAACCCAGCTAAACCTTTGGCCCTTCCAAACCCCCAAACTCTAAACCCTAAAGCCACACACTGTAAACTTTAAGCTCCAAACCTTTAGACACTGAATTCTACAAAACCTGACCTCCAAACCTTGAAAACTAGACCGTTCAATGAACCTGGCCAGCGGTGTGGGTTTCTTGCGGACGGCATCTCATACCATTCGCGGTTTAGGGTTCAGGGTTTCGGGTTTACTGAGCGCTGGTTGGCCTCAAAGGTCTTTTGGCATGTAGGCTTTCGTGTACTGGAGGTTTAAGGGTTCTAGAGATTTTAAACCCTAAACGCCAAACCCTAAACCCGGGTCAAATCTGGCAGCCGGAATCCGACGTCTGCTCTCCAGCAGAGTGGGCAGCCATGCTTGCGAAGCGATGAGCACGACTGTCGAGGGTTTAGGGTTTAGGGTTACCCCGGTCAATGCACTGGCATGAAATGTTGAAGCTCGTGAATAATGGTCACACTCTTAGTAGCCAACATGGAGTCGGAAAGCCCCAGATAGCGAAAGTGGCAGTGCCAGGAGCAGCGGCAGCGGAAGTGTAAGACAACAGCAGCTGCATCAGTTATTGTTTAGTCCTCGTCAGCTTACGAGCAGTTTACCGGGAATTACCTGTTCCATCGAAACCCCTAAACCCTAAACTCTAAACCCTAAGACAAGACATCCTTAATACACATTGAAGCTCTAGAGCCCTAAAGTGCAATCACCCCGGAGTTTAAGGTATAGGGTTTAGAATTTTTAGGGTTTAGG